AAAAGGGTTTTGTTTAGTTTTTTAAAGACTATATAACTTTCTCAAAAAATAAATAAAGCACTTTAAATACTGCATTTGAGGGGCTTCCTTGGTGGTCCAGTGGTTAAGAATCCACCTTGCAATGCAAGGGACTCGGGTTCTAGCCTTGGTTGGGAAAGATCCCACATGCCACAGAGCAGCTAAGCCCTTGTGCCGTAACTGTTGAGCCTGTGCTCTAGAGCCCAGGAGTCTCAACTGTTGAGCCTATGTGCTGCCGCTGCTGAAGCCCTCGCGCCCTAGGGCTTCTGCTCTGCAGCAAGAGACGCTACCGCAATGAGAAGCCCATGCGCCACCGCTCCTGAGCCCAATGAGAAGCCACCACAATGAGAAACTCGAGCACCACAGAAGAGTAGCCCTTGTGCAGTGAAGACTCACCACAGCCAAAAATACAAATAAATAGATCTTTAAATAAATTAAATTCATCTAAAAATCCTATTAGGAAATGCTGCATTTGAGTTATATTTTATATAGAATTCTTAACCAGCCATCTGCTAACCTTTGTTCATTTTATTGCTAATATTCTTATGGTGCTGCTGTCAAACTACTGTGAAGAAATTGAACATGTGCGTATCACTATGCAGAATAATGTTAAATTTCAGGATGGAACGAGTGATTTAAAGCATAAAAGAAGTCATACTGGAGAACCAGTGGATGTTACTTTCTTCTTCCCCAAAAGGATGTACCAGGGGTAGATTAATCTTTCATAGTAGTAACTTCTGAGATTACTAAAATAATCCTTTATAGCTAATTCATTTTAAATTAAAAACATGAATTGAAATACATACAAAGTGTACCTTTTCTAGCCAATGAATGGTCATAGGAAGCAGTCTGTTGGCTTTATAACCCAATACTCTCTCATTATTTTAAGAATACACCTTACATTTATAATTAAATAAGCAAAACTAAACAAATGGTGATACTTTGGATAATACCTTCCAAGTATTTGGAACATTTCTTCCAGCAATAGTTGGAGTCCCTGGATCCTCTCTTTGAACCTGAGTAGACTTTTATGATTGTCTTTGAGTAAAATACTATGGCCCTTTTTCTTCTGGGCTGTATTAATATATATTTAGAGCTCTAAACCACCATGAAAGAGGTTGACCTATGCTGAAGCTGTCATGATAGAGAATACCATTGAAAGGCATGCCTTAGGATCCCCAGTTGTTTTGAATCTACCCAGCCAGTGTGAATAAGCAAGCCTTCAGATGGTTTTATCCAGCCTTTAACTGCAGCCACATGCGAGACTAGTTGAGCCTCAGAACCATAAGCAATAATAATGAATTACTGTATTGTTTTAAGTCACCAAGTTTTGGGATAGCATGTTAAATTTACTGCAATAGTCAGAATATTTATATATTTGTGCTATTGAGAAAAGAGAATTTTGTTTTGTATTCAGGACCATATTTTGTTTATTATGTACCCTAGTCATTATTAACACAAGGTTCAGGAGGATCAAATACCTGCCCCCCACCCCCACCCCAAACAGTGATCTTTTTATTCTAAATGCCTCTTATCAGAGGTGAAAAAACTGGAGCTCAGATTGGGACTTTGCCAAAGATACCTAGCTCTTAAATGATGACCTGGATTTTCTTGCTTCCAAACACAAATCTTGTCTGTATCATATTTCAACAAATAAATGGTTTCAGTGGTGGATAAAAGTAACTTAAATACGATCTTTTATATCAGGAAGTCAGAAAATAATATTTTAGGCTCTGTAGGCCTCATAAGGTCTTTGGCGTATATTATTTTCTTTTTTAAAAACACAGCCTTAAAAATGTCAAAACCATTCTTGTCTTGACAGTCAAAAATAGGCTGTGGGCTGAATTTTGTCCTGCAGGTCTTAGTTTGCCAATTCTGTCATAAAACCAGTTACATTTTTGTTGTCATAAGAGTATGAAATGGGTAAAAATTTGTAGACATCAAATGAGGATATTATGGTTGAACTTAAAGTAAATTTAAGATGCGGCAATGTTTGGGATACAGAGCTTTCTGATGCACTAATTTGAAATTAATTACTAGTGCACCCAACCTTTCAGTGATGCTTTGTAGTTTTGTTTTATTACACTTTGTTTAAAGGTACTTCTATTGTTTACAGTGTAGTTTAACTCTATATTTTAGAAAGCCTGAACTCTAGACATGTGAATTTGCGTTAACTTGAACTTCTGAGCTTCTATTTCTTTATCTGCAAAGTAGTCTATCTAAAATATACCTAATGTGTGTCATGTATGAAAGTGATAAAATGTTAGAAAAGCAAGTATTGGTTAGTATTTTAAAAATTTGTAGATACTTTCTAAAACTGCAACTAATCTTTGGATTTGTCTAATTATTAAAGTTTTTAAAGAGAGTAGTACCGTTTTTGTAGGGAAACCATGATTTGGGCATGTCTGAAATTTAAATAGATAAATCAGCCTCACACTATTTCTGTGTTAGATTCAGCATGTATAAAAGTATATAATTTCATGTGACTGGTCAAGCTTTTGGGTGGATATTTCTAATCAAGAACTAGCAATTTCTTGCAAAGATTTAGATAGCACTGTATTAATTGTCTTATTTGCTCTCATGTCATAGTTCTTTTTTTTTTTTCTTTTGGTTCTACAGATGTCTTATCTTTCAAAATTTGTTGGATTTACTTTTTTACTGACTAGAGAACTTTGACCCAAGGATTGCTTAATATCTGAAAAACATGGATTTCTAAAAATCAAACTATATCTTTTTATTCTTTATAATATGGTATCCAAAAATTGTGTTTGCACTATTCAGGTTTCGAGGGGATTTTCTTCAGTGAAAACATGAACTCAGAGGATGAGAGGAACCTTTCTGGTTCACATATCTTGGTTTTCAATAACATTAAAAAAAAAAAAGGGAAGTAGTCCATATAGTATATATTCATTTTACAAAAATGGTAAAGTACAGAGAAGCATTTTTATGGCTCAAAGAAATCAGTTACTATGTTTCAGGCATATATAATTTTCAGTGTTCTAAGTAGCAGTGGTGGCTCCAAGTACAGATGATGTGTTACTGTATCCTGTGTCACCTTGCTTTTCATCTTATTTTACCTACATTATCTGTTTCAGTTCTCTTCATTCCCTGATTTCTGTCCCTCTTTGGGGAAATTTGAGTTATATCTAACCTGTTCAAAGACCTCAGGTTAATAAACCTTGTTATACTTTGAGTGGGCTTTGCTTTTTGGCTGGAGCCATGGATACAGTTGTCCTGTCTCATCAGTTTTTATGATTTTATACCTCTTGTTATGGCACCTTAAATTTGTAAAGATATTTTTGATGCTTGTATGCTTAGTGTTTAAAATGTTAACCATTAGTTTTAGTGCCTTATTTGGCGGGGGGGGGATCAGTTTAAAGTAGTAAATAACATAATTGCATGTATTTCTGAGGATTTTTTTGTCCCATTAGACAGGATGGGGGCGGTATGAAGCGGGAATGGGATGATGAAACTGAGTTGTAAGTTTTTGTGATCTTTGAAAGTATCAGTTACAGTCAATGGTTTCTTTGTCTGGACAAGTTACACTTTTTATAGTCCAAACCAGCAGCCTCAAATGTTTCTGGTTGTGTACCCCATCACTAATTTTCTTCTTTTAACCTGCTTCAATGTTATTTCAGACAGCAGGATAGCTGTAGGGATAGTACAAGGATTTTTTTGCTTTTCAACCACATTTCACACGTTAACATTTTTACCATATTTGTCTTTCTAATTCATTCACACTCTGTCTTTTGTCTGTTGCAGACATGATGCTTCTTTGCTCCTAAATATGTAAACCTATGTATTTTCTAAAAAGTATAATTCTCTTTTACTTAACAGTAGTACTATCAAAATCAGGAAATTAACATTGATACTTGTAGTCTGCGGACCTTATTTAGATTTCACTAGTTTTTCCAGTTAAGTCTCAGATCATGTGCTGTATCACATATCTTTTAGTCTCCTTTAATCTGAAGTGTTTTCTTAGTGTTTGTATTTCATGATATTGATGTTTTGGGATGCCTCTAAATTTGGGTTGGTTTTGTATTTGTTTCCTTATGTGTAGGTTTAGGTTTTGCATTTTGCGTAGGAATATTGCAGAATTGTTCCATGAGTAGTGCGCCATACCAGGGTCCATGATACTGATTTGACCCACTGTGGGTGATGTTAACTTTGATTACTTGTTTAAGCTGGAGTCTGCCAGAGTTTCTGAATTGTAAAATGGTAATCAGTAAGTATTTTTCCTGAAGTACACAATCTTTCATAAATATGCATGCTGTCACTTCAGTCGTGTCTGATGCTTTGTGACCCCATGGACTGTAGCCTACCAGTCTCCTCTTCTAAATGGGATTCTGCAGGCAAGAATGCTTGAGTGGGTTGCCGTGCCCTTTCCCCAGGGATCTTCCCGACCCAGGGATCAAACACAAATCTCTTCACATCTCCTGCATTGGCAGGCAGGTTCTTTACCCCTAGGGAATCCCTTTGATAAATACCTTTATTTAAAAGTTATGCACCTGTATTATTTTTTTATTGTGCACATTTTAAAGCAGTTGACAAAAACTAGAGATGAAAGGATGACACACAGATAAACAAGGTCTCACTTTTTCTTTTTGTACCCCGGAAGGAAATGGCAATCCACTCCAGTGTTCTCGCCTGGAGAATCCCAGGGACGGCGGAGCCTGGTGGGCTACCGTCTGTGGGGTCACACAGAATCGGACACGACAGAAGTGACTTAGCAGCAGCTGCAGCAGCAGCGTATCCTTTTATACCCTATGGGATATATACTCCAGACTTTGTAAACCAGGGCTCTGTATCATATCCTCTACTTTATATGGTTTTATAGGAATTATTACTGTGTCTTGATCCTGAAGTAAAAGCTCCTTAAAGGTTAAGTTCTCATACGTAAATGGCTTCACAGTAAGTGCTCAAAGATAAATGCTTAATGCTAATGATTTTTCCCCATTACTTTTTAATTTCCTTGATTTCAGATGGAGAACTTAATGTTCTAGATGATATTTTGACTGAAGTACCAGAACAGGATGATGAGCTCTATAATCCAGAGAGTGAACAAGATAAAAATGAGAAAAAGGGTAAGATTTCTGTTTATTTTGTTAAAATAACAGTGTGCATAGAGAAAAATGTCTTGTCTTTTCTTTTGTACTTGTTCCTTGAGGCACTTAACACCAAAAGCACAATCATAACAAGCAGTGGTACCCAATTCCACATGAAAGAGAGTAATACATATTTTTTCAAACATATGAAATGTCTCAGATAAGTGAATTTATTCCAGTATTTGAAAGCTGTGTTTTCTCTATGATTAACTTTGGAGTACAGAAGACATTATATTTCAGAAGACATTTTAAAGAAATGAGGCTTTTGTTCCCTCTCTGATATGTTTACTTGTTGAACTTTGGTGAAATAAGTCTTAATACCCAAACTTTTTTATTTTTTGGTATTTTTAAGGTTCAAAAAGAAAAAGTGACCGAATGGAATCAACTGACACAAAGCGACAAAAGCCTTCTGTTCATTCAAGACAATTGATTTCTAAGCCACTGACCTCATCAGTTAACAATAACAAAAGAATGGTTAGTACAAAAGGAAAATCAGTCACAGAGTATAAAAATGAGGAGTATCAAAGATCTGAAAGAAACAAGCGGTTAGAAGCTGATCGGAAGATTCGTTTGTCAAGCAGTGCCTCTAGAGAACCTTATAAGAGTCAGCCTGACAAAACTTGTCTGCGGAAAAGGGATCCTGAAAGGAGGGTCAAATCCCCTACACCAGATGATTCTGAGGTAGTAAATGTTATTGCAGATATAATAACAGAAAGCAATTCTTTCATTTCTGTTTGAGGCTAGAACTGTTTATTCACTCTGACCTTGTCTGTTGTATGACAGCTGATTCCCTTTTTCTTTAAACATCAGAGAATTGGGCTTGAAGTGGATAGACGTGCAAGCAGATCCAGCCAGTCTTCTAAGGAGGAAGTGAACTCTGAAGAATATGGCTCTGACCACGAGACTGGCAGCAGTGGTTCTTCTGATGAGCAAGGCAACAACACTGAGAATGAGGAGGAGGGGGTGGAAGATGTGGAGGAAGACGAAGAGGTAGAAGAAGATGCAGAGGAAGATGAAGAGGTGGATGAAGATGGCGAGGAGGAGGAGGAGGAAGAAGAGGAGGAGGAGGAAGAAGAGGAGGAGGAAGAGGAGGAAGAAGAATATGAACAGGATGAGAGAGACCAGAAGGAAGAGGGAAATGACTATGACACTAGAAGTGAGGCTAGCGACTCTGATTCTGAATCTGTTACCTTCACGGATGGGTCCGTCAGATCTGGTTCAGGAACAGATGGATCAGGTACTAACTTTTAATGTAAAAGTTTGTCTTTATTTTTTAATTGACCTGATTGGTGTTTTTCTTGAATATTTTAAAATTGAGTTATGAAATTCGAGGCAATGTGGGATGTTAGTAAGACTGTCCTGTGTGTTTTTTTTTTTTTTAAATACAGTGTGTTTTGGGATATATTATGCACTTGAATAAGATTTACATATCTTAGTCAAGGTGTTTCTTAGCTCCAAATTGATTGCATTGCAAATGCACATTACTTCATTTCTTTCTCTAATAAGGAAATATATCTGAGGTTTTAATGTTATAAATTCTTATATTTACATACGAGTCGACACCAGTTTATTTAAACACTGCTGTACTTGAAGTATATTCATATGCAACCTATCTGCTAGGTATTACAGTATTTTCATGTTAAATGCCTCTGGATTTCCATCATGTGGCAACAGAAATCAGAATAACTTTCTCTCTTGGGAGCATGAACTTTTATTTTTATACCTGTGGGTTGACTGGGGCAGTGCCTCCAGAGGGCTGGGTGTAAAAGGTATTAGATGGAAAATAAAGAGTATAAAATTCTTGTGGAGAGACTGGGAAAGAAAGATGCTTTGCCACTTTCTCTGACCCAGGAGACTTAAAGTAGGAATGGTAGATAGTTGCAGTCACTAGGCTGAAGGGACCCTCTTTTGGGGAGAAGTTCAGAAGGTAGAGCAAGGAGCGGTCAGGGTCCTTAAAGATCGTTGGCTGTTCTATGATGATTATAGTCCCATGGCTGTCTTAATGTAAAGGTGCCACCAGATCTGCTACATAGGCCAAATGTAACAAACATTGGAATACAAGAAAAGTTCTATTCTTTTGATATATGTGATAGTTACAATGTCATTGTAGAATTTTATCATTTTAGTAGTACATTGTTGGTAAATCGTATTCTTGATAGTGTAAATGTTAGAGCAGGTGGCCAGGTGTTCTCCAGTTGGCAGCTGAAGTGCTTCTAGCCGTTTACTCATCAGAGTTCTAGGTTTGGGAGTTAGACAGGTTTTTGGAGGTGGTTAAAGAGTTAAACTGAACAGATGGGTAGTTGGATTTAATACAAAAAAAACTTGTGGAATCTATTACTATTATTCCATCATACTTTGCACAGACTGATGGGATATGCATTTATAATGTATGATAATGGATAGAGAACAAAAATTGCATTGAAAGTATGAATGTTCATTTATTGTGGAGAATGTGTAAACAAATAAAAGTAGGGGATATTTTATTGTGGAATCTTCTTTTTGGTGTTCACACTAGGAATGATATTTCTTAGACTTGAATGTTCATCTTGTTTAAGTTAAACAGGGGAGACTTATTTGGAGAAGGGAATGGCTACCCACTCCGGTATTCTTGCCTAGAGAATCCATGGACAGAAGAGCCTGGCAGGCTGCAGTCCATTGGGTTGCAATGAGTTGGACACGACTGAGGGAGTAAACACGCATGCCAAGGAGATGGTATAAATAGATCGGACCTGCAGTAATGTGTATTTTTAATAAGCTCCTAGATGCTAATACTTAGCAAGATATTTATTCATACTTTTTATGTTTTTTGTGGATTAGATATTTTGTATTGAATACTAGCCAATGGTTTTTAGAAAACCTGGATATTAAAACTGTTAAGAGATTTATTGTTAGAGATACCTAGAACTCTTACTTTCCTTATTAAAGGAAGCTTTGTGACTTTTCTTTGGAAGAACTCTTACATGGAACTTGTTTTAAAGACTATTTAGTATGCAGGATATTATTATTTTTATCACGGAGCAGTTTCTAGTACTGTGAAAGAAAAAGAACCTGAAACTCTTTAAAAGAGGGGTACCAGTTTTTAAATACAAAGGATGACAGTTTAGTTTCCTTGTCATGAATTTTCTAGACTCCAGTTTATTTTACCTCATTTTTTTCCTCAGAACTTTAGCAACTTCTTTTATAGTATAAGTGACACAGTTGGTGATTGTTAAAAGTTATTTTTTAGGTGACTGTTTTTTTGATGTGAGAATAATAGTCAGGAGAGGGGATCATAAACTTAAGAACAGTGAAAGTTAGTTGTACAAAAAAGATAAAAACTCCTTGGAGATTTTTCATGGTAATACAATATTTAACATTATATAAAAATTGTTGGGCAAGATCTGCTTCTGTTATTTTTCCTGCATCATCTTAGTGAGAGATTCTGTTAGTACAAGTATTATTTTTAAACAGCAGTAGGAGTTGTATTATTCTTTGTGATCAATTTGTAATGTTTGGAAGTGGAAGTGTTAGTCACTCAGTTGTGTCCGACTCTTTGCAACCCCTTGGACTGTAGCCCCCCAGGCTCCTCTGTCCGTGGAATTCTCCAGGAAAGAATACTGGAGTGGATTACCATTCCTTTCTCCAGGGGATCTTCCTGACCTAGGGTTGAACTTGGGTGTCCTGCATTGCAGGCAGATTCTTGACTATCTGAGCCACCAGGGAAACCCTGTAATGCTTAGATTCCCTAACTGTTCAGATAGGAAAAAGTGAAAGAAACATGTTAGATGTTTTGAAAGAAATAATTTAGAATGATTTTCTTAAAACGAAGTTTATTTTTCTAGTCTCCTTCATGTGCATGTCAATTGATTCAATTAATTTGGTTCCTTCTGTATGCTAGACGTTATTTAAGAATGTGTAGTCAGTGAACAAAACAGACATGATGAGAAAGAGATTTGGGATATGACAAAAACTCCTGTTTCTCGTCTGTTTGGTTGTTTTCAGTTATTTTGTACTAAAAGTTCAGTTTAATTTCTTTTGAAGTGTTACAGTTTACCATGAAGGAGAGGATTTTAAAACTTGAAAGTTAGGTCTCATTCAAAGCTGGCAAGCCTAGGAATACTTTTTTCTATAGCTAATTATATGAATATCAGTATGCTCCCCAGTTGCTAGCTTTAAATGGGCTCGGTTTTCTAATTGTGTCAGTGTGTACTGCCTTGCCTTTCCTGTTTGCCCAGAGTTAGAAACATCAGCATCATTGATAAACTTCTTGTTAACAATCTCATTTGGAGAAGGTATTAGTAGTGAATTACAAGGGGGAGAAATGCTTACTTAAAAGGAACTTATTACCTTGTAGTTTTCTCTCTTTAAACTAGCTTAAAGTTAGGATCCCCTTTCAGGAACAGTAGTAAAATATCTTTTCTATTCTGTCATTAAGAATAGAGCTCTTGGCTTGTACTTGCAAGTTAGAAACTAGGATCTGCCCCTCAGGAACCATGGGACCCTGGCCAGGTTCCCTAACCACACCACTGAGTTGAGGTTTCCCTTCTGTCAGTGAGAATAATGGTACTGTGTATCTCACGAGTTTGTTATAAGGATTAAGGGAGATAATCTATTTAAAGCTTTTAAAATAGAAGTTTATATGAAAGGTTATTGATTATCATTTCAACATTCTCTTATTTTTATAAAAATAAGTATATGTATTTTCTCCCATCATGTTCCTTTTCATAGCTGAAAAGTAAAGGTGCTTATCATGATGTAATTAAAATACTGATAAACAGTGACAGGAGAGCCTAATTCCATTTTAGGTCTTCATTTATATGCTTATAAAGTTTCAAATTAAGCCTGAAGTTGTTCTTATAAGTAATGCAAGCCTTTTCTGTCTATTGAAGATTCCCAGCTTTTTAATAGCACTATACAGACTATCACTGAGATTTTAGAGATAAATTTTGAATTGAATTTGAAAATAAGCAGTAATTCAGGAAGGAAATGGTCAAAAAGAATGTATTTGAAGACACAGAAGCAAACAGTGGCAACCAGAAGGGAGTTCAGTGTAATTTTTTTTTTTTTGAACAGTTGAAAACCTTTGAGTTCTGGGGACATCTCAAAATCAGACTTGGAATTTGCTGAAGAATGATAGTAAACTTTTTAAAAAGAGGACTTAAAACAGTGTTACTTGGTGCATAGAAGGGGACATTGTAATTTTTTGTTAACTGTATTTTTTATTGGGGTATAGCTGATTAACAGTGTTGTGATAGTTTCAGGACAGGGAAGGGACTCAGCCATAAATACACACGTATCCATTCTCCCCCAGATTCCTCTCCCATCCAGGCTGCCACATAACATTGATCAGAGTACCTCCTCTGCTATACAGTTGGTCCTTGTTGGTTACCCATTTTAAGTACAGCAGGATGTACATATCAATCCCAGGTTCCCTAACTATCCCTTCCCCTCATCCCCATCCCCCTCGCCCACAACCATAAGTTGGTTCTTGAAGTCTGTGAGTCTGTTTCTGTTTTGTAAGTTTCTTTGTATCATTTCTTTTTTGATCCCACATATAAGGGATGTCATAAGATGTTTTTCTAGGTCTGATTTCATTCAGTATGACACTCTTCTCTCCATCCCTGTTGCTGGAAATGGCGTTATCTCATTCTTTCTAATGGCTGAGTAATACTCCGTTGTATATATGTACCACATATTCTTAATTCATTCTTCTGTTGGTAGACTGTATGTTGCTTCCATGTCTTGGCTATTGTAAACAGTGCTGCGATGAACATTGGGATGTACGTATTTTTTTGGATCATATTTTTCTCTGGATATATGCCCAGGAGTGGGATTCAGGGTCATACTAGCTGGATGTTTTTTAAGGAACCTCCATACTCTCCATAGTGGCTGTGCCAGTTTGCACTTCAAACAAAAGTGTAGGAGGTTTCTCTTCGCCCCACACCCTCTCCAGCATTTATTATTTGTGGATTTTTTGATGACAGCCATTCTGGCTGGTGTGAGGGAATACCATAAATTTAATTGAAAGAAAAACAGTGTTTGCTTTGCAGAATTTTTTCCCCCCCTTTTATAACTTTTAAGACTTATATATAGGGTAAGTAGTTTTTAATTAACGGCTGTGTATTTTTATTTGATTAAAATTGGTGTTAAAATTGGTGGGAGAAATAAAAAATGTGCTTAGCTTTTAAACAGTGTCTGAATTGGCACACTTTCTTCTGAGGAAGTTAAGTGGGTCAGGAGAGGTTAGTAGTGAATAATACTTAGGGAAAATCCAGACATGATGATACATTCTTATTTGATTAACTTACATTGTAATGTTTTTAAAAATCTTGTCTTAATTCTTTCTTAGATGAGAAAAAGAAGGAAAGAAAGAGAGCTAGAGGCATATCTCCTATTATTTTTGATAGAAGTGGAAGCTCTGCATCGGAGTCATATGCAGGTATTCTCATTTACTTTTATTTGTGATCATATCTGACTGATTCTAATGTAATCTGCTGTAAAAAGTGTGGAGGCTGTAGTTTAGCGTGAACTTGTTGATGTTCATTAGTATTGATTTCTGGCATGTTCAGTGTAATAATTCTAGAAGAAACTAAGCTTTTTCTTATTATTTTAATCCTGTTCTGTTACTGCTTAAGTGGAATTTCACTTTTTTTTTTTTTCTTGGAAGATGATGATTCAGTGACTAGTTTTCTGAGTGAGAAACTGTTCAAATATTTTTAAAAACATCCAAACAACCCAAAAAGCAAAACACTCGTACACATTGAGAAGTATTTTTTTTGTGTGTGTGGGTGCGCCAGGAAGAATAATTTGTCTTGAATGAGAACTTTATGTGACAAGACTGTAGAAATTTTGTCTTATCTCTATTAAAGCCCAATCTGAACAAATGTACTTTGGCTAAATACAGGTTCAGAAAAGAAGCATGAGAAATTATCATCTTCCGTTCGTGCTGTCCGAAAAGGTATCATTTAAATTTGAAATTGTTTTCATTGCATGCTGCCTTAAAGTCATTATTTTTCCTTATTGGTTCTCCATTAATAGTTGGTTTTAATGTAGTAATGTTCTGATATATTGCATTAAAGGGGAAAGAAATAATGTCTTACACAGAGCTCCATATTCACTTTTTACTGCCATATCTTTTAGAAAAATAGCAAACATCTTAAGCTATCTTAGTTTCTGGACAGAGTGGATGGTGTATATGTGTGTGTGTATATATATATATATTTTAAAATATATTTTAATAGCATAAGAACTTATTAACAATTTTAAATGATTCATGTGATAAAATCCATAAAATTTATAGCTATTTTCACACAAAATATGGATCTGATATATCAGAACATTACTATATTAGGTTTGCCTTCTTGCAAAATGCTGGTGTCTTTTCTTAGCTTTGCTTTACTACGTGTTGTGGCTTAGCTTTTCAGGTTGAATGGGTGATTATGAATTTTAAAAGTTTAGTTGGGTTGCGGAGGGCTAATTTCAGTTACTACAACTTAAATTCCTCCGTGTGACAATGGCCTCTGGTTAATCAGTTTGGATTTCTTTTTTTCAGATCAAACCAGTAAACTCAAATATGTTCTACAGGATGCAAGATTTTTTCTGATAAAGAGTAACAACCATGAGAATGTGTCCCTTGCCAAAGCTAAGGTATTAGCATCAGTTCTATTGAAACTATCCTAACCTTGAAAATTTTAATTGTGAAGGTGGACTTAAGTATCACTTGAGTACATGAGACACTGTAATTTTCATTAAAGCTTTAAAGCTCTTTCCCCCAGTTGCCCTGCAGGGTCTGCTTTTTGACTGGTTAAGCAACCAAGTAGTAACTTTTAAGTTTTCTTTTAAATCTTCTGAAGATGAGTTTAGAAGTAAAATTACTCAATATTTGAAGACTATATTTCATTATATGTTATACTGCAGAAGTGGTTCAAGTTTTGTGTTTCTTTATTCAAGTTGCTAGTTTATTATACCAACACTTTTTTAAAAAGGTTCTTTAGTCAGCCAGTTTTTGTTTTATATTACTGCTTGTTTTCCACCTTGAGGTTTTCTTGAAAAGAAGGTGTTCCTCTATGGAGAATCTCTTTGAGTTTTTAAAAGTAAGATCACTTGGATTTTGAAGAAAAGAGAAGACTCAGTTTACAGGCCCACCCTAACCTTTACAAAAGGGATATATGTGGTTGCTGTCAGATGTTGTAAGGTTAATTGTTTTCTAATGTTTCTGCTGTAAAATACATCTACTTTTTATACAAACTATTACAATATTTTCATATTTTTGGTTTAAGACAGATTCTACTGACTTCAAGAAAGGTAAAACTAAACATTTTTAAAAGATATTTGTCAGTATTAATGATGCTATTTCTGATTTGAGGTTAACCCATTAAATTTTACAGATGGAAGGAATAATATGCCAAATAACTATCTAATGGAAATTTATTCTGTTCCTCAGCTGGAGTGGATTTAGGCAAAAGTATTTAAGCATCTAGTGTGAATGAGATCTAGAATGTATCAGCAGATCAAACTGAATTGGAGCTTCTGCTTTACTTTACCATTCTGCCTCTTAATCTTTCATGAAGAAAGAATTGATTAAAATGTTTTGGAAATGGTAGCTGTGTTCCAGCTCTACATAAAACACAAGTCTCTTCAAACTATTGGTATTTGAAAATTTGAACTTAAATTGAAAAGAGAAATGATTCAAATTTAATAGAAATTCTTCTCTGGGGTTTACTAACATTTTTTCATCATTAGGCAGTTTTTATTTTACTTACTTTTCTTTTATTTTTTAAATTAAAATTTTTTTGGCCCTGATGCACTACATGTGGGATCTTAGTTCTTTGACCAGGGATTGAACCTGTGTGCCCTGCAGTGGAAGCACAGAGTCTTAACCACTGGACCACTAGGAAAGTCCCTGAGCAAGTTTTGTTTTTGTTTTTTCAAATTATGGAACTAGGATAGCACATTTATTGGAAAATACAGAACAAAGTTACATATAATTCCACTACAGGTTAACTTTTTAAGTAGATGAATTAAGATTTTTTTGTTGGAGTTTCAGTATCAAACTCTCAAATTAATAGAGTGAATATACAAAAGTAGAACGGTATAGTAGACCTGAAAAGCACTATGAACCAATTCAACATAATTAAGATTTATACAATTTTTGCACAACAGCAGGGTACAAATTCTATTCATGTTCCCATAGACTATAATCCAGGAGACAGCTGGAACATATCCAGGGATGTAAAACAAAGTGAAAAGTTTCATGGTCTAAAGGTATTGAGATCATACTGTCTGTTCTCTTATCACTGTGGAATTATGTTAGAAATAAGTGTCAAGAGATATTTGAAAATAATACACACATTTTTGAGTGCACTGTGACATTTACCAGAAGAGATCTCTGACTTAGCCATTGTAAGTCTAGACACAGTTTTTAAAGAAGAAATGTACACATTATGAATCACCTTCAAACAAAATGTTTTTCCGGTAGTAAATGGTTCTAACTTAGAGTAACTGTTGGTGATTGTTTTTATTGTATACAATTCTAGCTCATATGTTTTGGTCACCTCTCGCCCTCATGTGTATTACTTGTAGTTTTAATGTTTTTGTTAAGTTTGGTTAATTTTCTGTATTCTTCCCGAGTATTGTATTATTTTGACTGCTGATAAATAGAACCTTTATTCATAATAGCTTATTGGTAGCCTTGGTCTTTTGCAAATATAATTGGAAACATAAAAGATTTACATTAATTACAATCTGTGATCTTCACATTATTTATATAGGGTGTATGGTCTACACTGCCTGTAAATGAGAAGAAATTAAATGTTGCATTCAGATCTGCAAGGAGTGTTATCTTAATATTTTCTGTGAGAGAGAGTGGAAAATTTCAAGGTAAAATTTCAATGTTAATTTTTCAAGGGAAATTTCAAGGTAAAAATACTTTGGATATGTAAAAACATTTAATTATATTTGCATGAATATATTATAATTTATTCCCTTAGGATTTGCAAGACTTTCTTCAGAATCACATCATGGAGGATCTCCTATACATTGGGTACTTCCAGCAGGAATGAGTGCTAAAATGCTGGGAGGTGTCTTTAAAATTGATTGGATTTGCAGGTAAATTGCACACTTCACTGTAGATAATTAAAATTGGCCTTGTTTTGAATGGGCTACCAGTTGATAATATTAACATTCCACAGTTATGTAGTTGTAATTTATTATCCTAATTATTCTGCCTTTTTTGGTCTACTCCTTTTCTGATTAGGATCTGTGGGGTTTATTCAACAGTGTTGAAAATAAAAATAACATTATATACTTTGTTCACTACATTTATAATCTAAATGCATGGGGCAAAGATTTATCAAGAGTTTTATGTGTTTCATTGGTTCTCTGTGTTAGTAACATCGCAGAAATTTATGAATCAGACAATTGCTTGGAATGTTACTTAACATTTATATTTAGTGGTTTAACTTGGCATTTTATTACTGTAAAGTGGGAAAATAGTCACTCTTTGGCTTGGCTAAATAACATTTTGGGGGTGACTAGTTGTGAACAAGTAGTGTTTTTTAAGGAAGTTAGCAAAGTCATGTTAGTTAGCATTGTGATCCTTGAAACTGAAATAATTAAGCTTTAAATGTTTGTTATAAAAATAGACTTATTTTGAACTCAGTTATTTATTACTTTTTTTGACTTTACTGAATGATTGTACATTGTTTTAAAAAAAATGATTAAAGCAGTCAATTTAGATAATGCAAAAAACCTTAACACCTCAGGAAATGGACAGTTTGTTGTCTGGAACTGCCAGCTGGGGTGAAGTCAGAAAGGTTTTATAGGATAAATAATAATGAACAAGCAAGCTACTAATAAGAAATTATTTGATTGGGTGGGGTAACATTGTCAACCTTGCTTGGGATGAGGAAGCCCAGAGCTTACTTGGTGTTTGGGGATTGGCCGACAGGACATAATGCATTTCTGGTCAAGTGGAGCACTTACAGGGACATGAAAGTCACCTAACTTTCAGTTTGCTGGTTGGCACGTGGGGCAGGAATAACTCCATCTTGGGCCTAAACAGGTATTTCGGCAGTCTGGAAAGCTAGTTGTTTAAGTGAACTTGGCATGCACAGATCTTCTGCTTGTAACGTTAATTTTAGTTAAATAAGAATTACCTGAAAGGGACCATATGGATTTTTTGGTTTTATAAGTTGACTTAGGTGGATTTTGAGGGAGATAGAGGAATTGGATAAGAAGGAAAAATGCTATTCGTTTTCAGGAAGGCAAACTAACACACAGAAGAACTAACACAGAGAAGAACCATGAAGTCAGAAACCTTGGGGGTGGGAGGTGGGGTATGTTGGGTAATACAGGGAGCCACCTTTTTAATGAAGCAGAGTCAGTAAAGAGAACAACAAAAGGCAAAGATTATTATTAATATGGGTCAGCCTAAGGAGTTATTTACTTTGGGACAGTGAAGAACTATGAAAATGCATGGGCAGTGATACAGCAGACTATGTTGATATTTAATAGAATAGCAAAATGTTAGATACATATAAATATATCACCATTACTCATCCCATCATTTCTTTCTATAGGGAAAAATGAGAAACAATCTAAATTCTCCTGTATAGGAAATTGGTTAAGTAAATTATGGTTTGTAATGTAATACGTGTAACATGGAAAGATGTAACAGATGAAAGGATACATAATTACATTGAAATGCATTGTTAGCATGGTGAGACTATAGATAATATTCCTATACTCCATTGTACCCAGGGTTTTAAAATATAGTAATTTATTTCTAAAATTAATCATAATCAAAATTACAAAGTTTAGAAATCTGGTGGTAGTTTATAGGGAAGACAAGTCTCAAGAGATAAGACATTTTTACTTATAATTTTTTTGATAGATAAAGGCCAGAGGAAAGGTTTGCTAAGTCTGTGGTTTTATGACTAGAGACATTATTGGTGTAACTGAAAGATATTTGGAGATGATGCGTTCTTAGGAATAGAAGAAAAGTAATTACCCAGTTTTAGATTGGTGGTAGCAAATTTTATTTTGAATATTACTTATTTAACTTTTATTTTCAAATTATTGATTAAGAAATTTCTCTTTTAGAAGATTAATTTATTCACAGATTATTGTCTCATTTTCTTCTTCATTGACTTACTGGCAGTTTTACTATCTTATTTATATTAGCAACAGAAGAGGTACAAATTCAAATAGTCCATCCTTCTAGCACTTGGTGCAAAATTTTGGGTAGTAATTCTTATTTTTAAGTAAGTTTTAAGGATTACCTGAAAAGAATATTTTTAAATTAAAAAAATTACAGCTTTAAAAAGAAAAAGTCACAAGTATGTTCAAGAGTAATTTTATAGTACTTAAAAGTTCTGAGGAGGCACATGACATTATTATATTGATATTTCCTTGGGTAAGTCATTTGAACTGTTTTCCACATAAAATGAGAATTACTTTTAACTGTTAGTGTTAAAAGGATTCAGTCCAGTTCAGTCAGTCAGCCGTGTCCAACTCTTTGTGACCCCATGAACCGCAGCACGCCAGGCCTCCCTGTTCATCACCAACTCCCGGAGCCTACCCAAACTCATGTCCATTGAGTCGGTGATGCCATCCAGCCATTTCATTCTGTGTCGTCCCCTTCTCCTCCCACCCTCAATCTTCACCAGCATCAGGGTCTTTTCCATTGAGTCAGCTCTTTGCATCAGGTGGCCAAAGTATTGGAGTTTCAGCTTCAACATCAGTCATTTCAGTGAACACCCAGGACTGATCTCCTTTAGGATGGACTGGTTGGATCTCCTTGCAGTCCAAGGGACTCTCAAATGTCTTCTCCAACACCACAGTTCAAAAGCATCAATTCTTTGGCGCTCAACTTTCTTTATAGTCCAACTCTCACATCCATACATGACCACTGGAAAAACCATAGCCTTGACTAGAGGGACCTTTGTTGACAAAGTAATGTCTCTGCTTTTAATATGCTGTCTAGGTTGGTCATAACTTTCCTTCCAAGGAGTAAGCGTCTTTTAATTTCATGGCTGCAATTACCATCTGCAGTGATTTTAGAGCCCCCGAAAAATAAAGTCAGCCACTGTTTCTGCTGTTTCCCCATCTATTTGCCATGAAGTGATGGGACCAGATGCCATGATCTTAGTTTTCTGAATGTTGAGTGTTAAGCCAACTTTTTCACTCTCCTCTATCACTGATCAAGAGGCTCTTTAGTTCTTCGCTTTCTGCCATAAGGGTGGTGTCATCTGCATATCTGAGGCTATTGATATTTCTCCCGGCAGTCTTGATTCCAGCTTGTGCTTCTTCCAGTCCAGCGTTTCTCATGATGTAGTCTGCTTATAAGTTAAATAAGCAGGGTGACAATATACAGCCTTGACATACTCCTTTTCCAACAACGACCAGTCTGTTGTTCCATGTCCAGTTTTAACTGTTGCCTCCTGACCTGCATACAGGTTTCTCAAGAGGCAGGTTAGATGGTCTGGTATTCCCATCTCTTCCAGAATTTTCCATAGTTTATTGTGATCCATACAGTCAAAGGCTTTGGCATAGTCAATAAAGCAGAAATAGATGTTTTTCTGGAACTGTCTTGCTTTTTCGATGATCCAGTTTAAAAGGATTAAACTTTAATAAATATAAATCAGATATTATAGTTACCAGAGTTTTATTTAAGTGCCTTTTGGATTTAATAACTGGCTCTTGAGTTTTTTTAGGTGTGGTCCTTGGATCACTTGCATTAGTAGTATCTGATTATTAGAATGTAGGATCCTGACATGCGCCTCAAACCTGTATGCACACACTCATGCTCACTCATTCAGTTGTGTCCAACTTTTCATAACCTTTTGGACTGTAGTCCGCCAGACTCCTCTGTCCACATGATTTTTTTCAAGCAAGAATATTGGAGTGGGTTAACCATTTCCTCCAGGGGATCTTCCCAACTCAGGGATCAACCCTGACTCTCCTTTATATACTGTATTTTCTGATTTGCAGGTGGATTCTTTACCGCTGAGCCATTGCAGAAGCCCCATAGGCACACTTGAGTTTTTAAGACTAGATGATGCATGGTAGCAAATAAGGAGGCATGCATAAAAAGTTACTCATTTAAGTTGCCACTGGGAGTTAGATCAAAATAAGACTAAATTTATAAAATATCATTTGATCAGAATTAAATCTATATTTTAATCTCACCCCATCACATCCATTTCAAATAACCTATTTCTCTTTGCTTTCATGGTTTCTCTGCTACTCCTGTTAGCTTTAATGACCAACTATTAGTACATACAGTCTTTGTACAGTTCATGTTCTTTTGTTAAATATGCCCCATTTACTAAGTTCCTTAAAGTAGAGAATCACTGCCATGTTACCTAGAATACTCACAGTAGAGATAATCATCTGTAGGCCTCTTCATTACATGTCTGCTCAAAAGCTAGCTTTTAGGATGCCTGCTCTATAATCGTGATAACCACAGATGTACAATTTCTTTTAGTTTTAACCTGAGCCCTGTTTTACCTAAGGCCTCATAGTTCCCTGTGATATTCAGGCTGAGATTAACTAATCTGTCAAAACAGTGGGCACATGTCTCTGGAATCTAGTTAGAACCAGTGCCATCAAAGAGCCACCAAAGAATTTTAACCCCAGTGACTCAACCGGCTCAACATAATGCCTTTTTTTGGGACCAAGGGTAATCCATGGCTAATGTTTAAATAACAGTTGTAATTCTGTGCAATAATAACTTACAGCCTTCCTGTGCTTTGGGTAGTTGAAAGTGAAAGTGTTAGTTGCTCTGTTGTGTCCAACTCTTTGTAACCCCATGTACTATAGCCCTCCAGGCTCCTCTGTCCATGGAACTCCAGGCAAGAATATTGGAGTAGGTTGCCATTCCCTTCTGCAGGGGATCTTCCAGACCCAGGGATAGAATCCAGTTGGGTCTCCTGCGTTGCAGGCGGACTCAACCATCTGAGCCCCCAGGGAAGGTTGTATGTTATTCCTTTTTGTAATTTTTTAACTGGCAATTTAGAAGAAAAATATAAGAAACTATTAAAATACAGTTTTTAACTATAGATCTGTGTCTGGATATTCTAGGCTTTGGTATGGATTTAGTCTAGCTTAATGATGATCTCTTTCCTCCCAGCCCTCCCTGAAGTGGCGGTGTGGAGATGTGTGTATAGATGTATATGTGTACACACATATTTTTGTTTGTATATACGCTTGAACCACTCTTGATGTGTGAGGTAAGATGTCTTTTAGATGAAGATTCAGGCCTTTTAGTAGTACCTAGTGGGCATTTATTTCCACCACTCATTGCTCACTTCTCGCATACATTCACATCACCACCACATGTCATGCCACTTTGTAACTTTAATCTTTTCCAGTAGATGTTAAAAATATTTTCTGAGGTTTAAAAAAGTCCAAGATTTGAGCATTTAATATTCATCTTTAAGAAAATTCACATAAGGCTAGAAGTAAATGGTTGTATAGCTTGTCCAATGGACCAGGTCATTTGCTTGTAATTTTTCTTCTCCATGTTGTCTTCGCTTAGGTCCTTTTCATTGCTTCAGAAGTGTCTCTGCTTTACCTTTCCACCTATGACTTTTCCTGAGTCACTTTTCTTTCAGGCTTATCCCTTATGCCACCTTTTCCAGGAAACATTTTTTATTTGTTTCTTGCTTGCTTGCCAAGATAAATATGACCATTCACATTAAAAGCAAAAGTTCTATACTCTGTTTATGGTACTCATTCTTTTTACAAAATACTTGTATGTGCTTATTTATTGTTTGGTGAAAGCTTTTTTTAAAAAGGTTAGGAATGAGAGTTTTTTATCTCACTTATCTTTATATGTCTTTTGAGCAGTTTCATTTGTATTGTAGATATAGTTCTTTAATTAAAGCATTTATGTAATTTGGCATTACTTTATGCACAAATAGATGAAACATTATTGAATGATGTTAATTTCTCACTTTTTTGGCAACAGGTATTTACTACGTGTCATGTTTATGTTCATTGTTGTGCTATAAAAATAGAGAGTGTATAAAAATGAAGGGTTTTTTTTTTTTTTTAACTTGGTGAGACTATTTTGCCCTGTGGCTCAGAAACTGGAGCCTATAATATAGACTGAAGTAAGTCGGAAAGAGAAACACCGATACAGGTTATTAAGGCGTATATGTGTAATTTCGAAAGACGGTAATGACGACCCTATATGCAAGACAGCAAAAGATGCAGCATTGTAAAGAACAGACATTTGGTCTGTGTTGGAGAAGGCGAGGGCAGGATGATTTGAGAGAATAGCATTGAAACATGTATATTACCACATGTAAAATAGAAGACATGAAGAGGGTATTCAAAGCAAGCGTTCTCGGACCACCCAAAGGGGGTGGGGTGGGGGGGGGTTCAGGCTGGGAGGACATGTACATCTGTGGCTGATTCATGTTGATGTATGGCAAAACCCACAATATTGTGAAGTAGTTAGTCTCCAATTAATAATTAATTAAAAAATAAAGTATAGCATTGTAGTGTCTACAAGAGGAGGGGTAGTGCATAATTAATACATGCAAATATGTAAATTTGTAAGTATTAAATTTTTTATTATCAAGAGCTGTTCTATGTGTGGTAGAAATTTTGCTTTAGCAAAAGGGGAAGATACTTGAATCTGGGAAAGCAGTCTTGAACCAAGGATAGGGGACATGTATTCATGTGGTATTAACTGCCTGGTTAAATAAAGTTCATCTCTTTATTGATCAGTTATTAAAAAATACAGGATTTTTAGTACATAGATGTAAGATGTAAACATTTGATGTGTTATTTCATTTGCAAGCTACCTAAAACAAGTTTGAAGACAATGGCGCTATCCTTATATTTATAAGATGAAGAAACTCAGGCTCAGAAAAGTTGAGGGAGACCAAACTGTCTTGGTATCCTAGTTCATTTTTTTAATCATATCTAGCTCTTTTGTTTTTTGTTTTTTCCTTTTTGAGAATACAGGAGAATGTGCAAAGTGTGTCTCTGAATGTGGCTTTGTTTCTGGGAAATAATCTCTATCAATCTTATTTAGTCACATTTAAGTCATGATTAATAGGAATTCACTACTAAGTGTAGTATAAGGTCTTTAAAGGATTCTGTAAAAAATATAATTGATATCACTTTGTGTTTAGGCGTGAATTACCCTTTACTAAGTCAGCTCATCTCACCAATCCTTGGAATGAACATAAGCCAGTAAAGATTGGACGTGATGGACAGGTTTGTTGTTTTAATTGATTCTAAAAACATGTGTTTAATCACTCTTCTAGAAATCTTTATTGAAAGATATTTTAAAACCATTTTTGAATGAATTTGTGGGAATGATTGGGGAAAATATTCTTATTTGGAGTTTGTGATTACTGTAACTGTGACTGACTGATATGACCTCCATTAATGTAGAAAGGTAGATTTATATGGTACTTGATTTATACAGTTGAAGGAACAGTTTTTGAAGAGAACTGGCATGATTTTAAAAACCTTTCAGGTTTAGGTTTTTCATTGTATTATTACTGTTTAACAGATTCTGATACATTTTATAAATGCCACTTAATATCTTTACTGAAGTTTTCTGAATAGAAAAAAACTTTATTAAAAGGAGATGAGTATGTGTATACGCAGGTTGTTGAGTCTGCAGATGAAATTGAAAATGTGCAGATGTGCAGAAAATGTGCAGATGAAATTGAAAATTTAAAATAAACCTAGGCCTGTGACCTTTAGTTTTCTAAATGTAATTTTGAACCCAGTTTTTATTGCTCATAAGTGAAAATATTGGTAATTTAAAATAAAAATTATACCAAGCCCATAGATTAGTTTGCCCTTATTTATATATTTCAGTGCATTTAGCAATTCATAACCATGAAAATTGTTGACACACACTAAACATTTTTTCTCCATTGTATTAAGATGGATGGTCGTCCTGGTACTTAATGTATTTTGCACAAAGAAATATTCCTTTGTTACAGAGGGTGACTGTCACAGATTCTGTGACAGAATCTTGGAGATTCTGTGCTATGCTTAGTCGCTCAGTTGTGTCCCACTGATTGCAACCCCATGGACTGTAGCCCACCAGGCTCCTCTGTACATGGGAATTCTGCGAGCAAGAATACTGGAATGGGTTGCCATACCCTCCTTAAGGGTGTTTTCCCAACCCAGGGATCAAACCCTGGTCTCCTGCATTGCAGACGGATTCTTTACCATCTGAGCCACCAGGGAAACCATTTTTCCCCTTAACATAAATACATGAAACACTTTTGAAAAAAGTTTTTTGAAGTCTTTCAAGGAAATTGATTGGAATCTCATGGGATCATCAACCTTGAGAAGGAAACCTCCAAGTCAGCCTGTTTTTGTTCTGTACATCAGGAAAATACAAAAAGCCTATCAAAAGTTTCTCCTTTTTTTCATTTTTTAAATTACTGCTTTCTTATTCTAGGAAATTGAACTTGAATGTGGAACCCAGCTTTGTCTTCTATTTCCCCCTGATGAAAGTATTGACTTGTATCAGGTCATTCATAAAATGCGTCACAAGAGAAGAATGCATTCTCAGCCCCGATCAAGAGGACGACCATCCCGTCGAGAACCAGTCCGGGATGTGGGAAGGTTAGAAACGTTCTTTGGACTGATAATAGGCACATATATCAGAATAACATGATGGAGGAATGTGATTCGTCAAAAGTTTGTCCTGCGGTAAAGAAGAAAGAGAAAATCCTCAAATCAAGCTGCATGGACTAGTTTGTGGCTTCATTGAGGATTTCAGATGGTCACCTTGGTCTCAGTCATTTTTCAAGAGGAAAATGGGGATCTTTCCTTTTGCAGAAAAAATTATCTGCTAAAGAGCGATAACCAGTTTAGATTAGATTGTAATCTGATAATACAATGTATACCATTGAAATAAGGTAGGCCTTTGTTGCTAAGAACAGGCTAGAAAGGAGGAAGAGGAGGAAGTCTTTATTTGCAAAAATTGTTAATATTTTGTAAAAAGCCTTTTCTTTCAGGTGTGTCTCTGGATAAGCCTTATCAGATATGGGACTTTTATAAAGGATCACTATTATTTTTTCAGAAGATGACGCCTCATTTATTAGAGGATAAAATATTTTAAGTTATTTTGATATTCAAGAGGAGCATTGTTGGGACTATCTCAGATTTTATCATCGTGATGTGTTAACCCCATTCTCAATATTGTCTAACATGTACCCCGTGAATTCACACATCTTGCTGAGCTTCTGAAAACAGTAGGTTCTTTCCAAAGGGGATCAAGTGGCCCTGGGAGACCCGGCAACAAACCAAAAAGAAGGGCTGTTGCTGTGTCTGTTTACAGCTTTTCCAGATGCTGGCAGTACCTGTGGACTTAAAGTGTTTTTTAGAGGATCGCCATGGTTGTTGATCACTACTTTATGAACTAAACAGCATTTTCCAGGAAAAGGGGTTTTAACTTGTTACAGAATTGGAGAAGTCTTTGCAAAGGACTGATTTAAGCCCTTCACCCAACACCTTCCCCTGAGTAGATTTGCATACAGCTAAATCTAAAATATTCTGCTAAAGACTGTTGGATGTGTGGTTGATGGGATGAAACCTTTGGTTAAGTTTCCTTTTGGTGGAAACATCCTGTGGTAGGTACAGATAATCCAACAAGAGTCCCCATTTCTTTGAGCTTAAGAAGGACACTGTCAAGTAGGTAGGAGGAAACCTGGCAGAGCCCCCTTACTTTTGGCCTAAAAGGACTGATCACCAGGATGTCTTTTGAAGTTTTAAGCTAAGAGATTTCCAGTGCAATACAGTACATACAAGTGAAGTTTTTACCTCAAATTTGCAATGGACTGTAAACTATACTTATTACACCACTACTTCTCTCAAGCCTGCCAGGGCCTCCATATTTGTATGTGGCTTACATCTTAAAGTCAGTAGTTGGACTACTTTATGAACTGTTACTATCATGTTTTATACCGGTCGTAAATGCACTCCCCAAACTACAGGAAAGCGGTATGTTTATTTTTTAAACCAGTTTTTAATTTTCTTAGTCTTATTTATTGTAGATGCAACTGTTTTTATTATGTTGGGGGGCTTGGGTTTATTGCAGCTTTGTAGTTTGAGTGAACTTGTGTTGCAGAAGTTTATGAAAGCAGTAAACATTCAGAAATAACTGGAAAGCTAGTGACGCCCACGTTATTACAGAGATTTTGACAGTAAGAGTAAAAAGATATATTTATTATTACCTTAAAAAACTTGAAATTTTGTTTTTTGTGTAGCTCTTTATTAAATGCTAAGTAAAATGAAGTGTATTTCATGATGTATATATGTTAACCTTAATGGTTACATTAACCATTGAGATCTATGGAAGATAGTGAAGAGCAGCCTGCTGCAGATAGTAAAATTTCACCTTCTAAAGAATACATTTTGAATTTGTATTATGAAACTCTGTTAAAACTCTGCCCCATTATTTGCCAGTTTATTTTAAGGCATTGTTTCTGGGAAAAAATTCCCACAATTTGTAAATGTTATTAACTTTAGAAATTAGTTTTTCAAAGTATTTAAACATTTTTAAAACTTTCCTGTAAAACAACTTTTAATAAGTATCAAATTTTCTGTATGATCATGTGAAAAGTATAATTTTGTACAAAGCAGAAGAAAAATATTTAAGAAATACATAATTTTCTTTAGATTTAACCTAAAATGACATTAATAAGTTTAAATATATAGATTTTAGGGTTACCTGTTGTGTAATGATGAGAGGTTTTTTCCCCTTTTACCTGAATGAAGACTTTATTCAGAAAAGTGCTTTAATTGTTAAACTGGATATTTATATTAGCTTTAAAAGGGTAGCTCATTTACTTTTGTTTAGATTACTAAAATGTGATTTAAGTATTTTGAGCAGATTACTTTTAAGTGTCTGATCATAACACAAGGATTAGAGAATATGTTTCTAGCAATACATCTAAGGATTGGTGTATGATAATTTGAGGAATTAAAATTTAGAGATTTTAAGATGTTTGTCCACCAAAGATGAGGCTGTTATTTTAAAGGAAATAATGAGCTTTTCTTTGTACTTATTCCTGTCAGAAACTCTTGCTTTGCTGTTTGTTCTCCTAGCAGTTTTTGGTTTAATTTCTAATGTGTCTAATTTATGTAGGCGTCGACCAGAAGATTATGATATTCATAACAGCAGAAAGAAACCAAGGATTGACTATGCCCCTGAGTTTCATCAGAGACCAGGTTAATATTTTATAATCCTGCAGATATTTGACTTGAAATTATTAAAAACAACAACAGCACAGAATCTTCTATGATGACCCTCTAATTTTAAAAGTGAGAAAACTTTAGGATGCAGCTATTAATTACCTGAAATTGCAGGAAATGGAAAACTGCACTTGTGTTTTAAGATTTAAATGTAGTTAGGGAAAGCAGTGATCTTACACTATTATTAGGATTTTTATTCTCTTTGATACTTAGTATTTCCTGTGGTAGAAAGCTTTAATTGGAAACTGAAATTATGCTATATTTTTCTAAATAAAAACATCTTTGACTTTCATATTTTTAGAGAGGAATGGGAAATGCTTGGTTTGTAATCTAAAAACAGCTTTTCAGTTAACCTTTCCCTTACTGGAGTTGAAAAAGGCACACTGTAGTCAAGAGAAGGTATTTATTTAAAAGTCAGTGATACACTTATAAAGAGCAGACCATTTGGAAGTTGGTATTAGTGAGCATTACAGCATTGTTACATGACAGATGGTTTGATAAGCCTCATTCTTCTCCAAACTGAGATATTCTGAAGAAGTAAAATTTTTCCCTAGTAACTTGGCCACTTAGACTTTTTCACATTTTAATTTACTAAGTCCTTATGAGAAGAAGAGGGGAGAATATTTCTCTGATTACCATGGTTCTTTCATTTAAAATGTATTTATTTTACTTTTTGCAACTTTTGTTAATTTTGTTTTTCTCCCCTTAAGTTTGCATTTTTTAAAGTTTTGGTTGACTTAGCAAGGTGGAAGGTAAACATTTGTTTTAAGGAAGACCTATTACAGTGTCCTCAAGATAATTCCTCTGTCCTTACCTTCCTATGGTGCAGCATGAAGAAATTTCTGTCTAGCAAGAATTGGGGTGTGGATTTAGAAGATCCATATGCAAACCTCTAACAGTTTATAATTCTGTGATATCAGTAAGTTATTTAGTTACTTTCTAATTATCATGTAATCTGAGAAGAAAATCTGAAAATGGAACAGTATGATAATAGCATCATTTAATAGCATCACTATTATATCTTGGGAAGAATTGAAATGAGTGGTAAGGAAGGTTTAATTATGATGCCATAATAAAAAATATAAGTTTGATATACTAAAATGCTTGATGTTTGAACAGGGTATTTAAAGGATCCACGATACCAGGAAGTAGATAGGTAAGTTGGGTTCATTTTTGTTCAGTTTTGAATTACATTCTTGGAACTAGTTTATGAACCACCTGAATTTAGTTTCACAAATCTTATTCCCAACAGACGGTTTTCAGGAGTTCGCCGAGATGTATTTTTAAATGGGGTAAGCATTTTGTTTTTTTTTTATTTAATGCACATAAAATCAGTATCTGATTTATTTTGTAAGTTCTGGTTTTTTTTAATTTATTGACATTATCATCTTTCATTTTAGTCCTACAATGATTATGTGAGGGAATTTCATAACATGGGACCACCACCACCTTGGCAAGGAATGGTTTGTATTAATTCTGTTTTTGCAAGTTATATAACTTCTTTGGCAGTTCCATATGTTTTGAATGCTTACTTGGAGTATGATTGTTATAGTTACCCATTAAGAGACTTAAAATACATGTCTTTAGTGATAAGTAAAATTGCATGCTGTTTTTAAAGTAAAGGCTTATGAATGATTGGATTTGTATAGTGGAGGCTTAGTTGATAAATGTTATGATTTATTATTGTGGTGGCTAGAAGTGTAAACTCTACAGGGTTCAAATACCTTCCCTTCTCAACTCTTGACTTTAGATAAGTTTCATAATACATTTTTGTCTTAGTTTTCCTTATCTGTGAAATTCGGGCATCCATTCATTCTTTGACTCATCAGACTATTTAGCACCTGCTCTTTGCAGGGCACTGTTTGCTCTGGGTGCACATCGGTGAATAAATCGGACTGTATGCCTGTGCTTGTATAGTTTAAAATGCAGTGGAATAGTGTCAGCCTTGTAGGACTGTCAAGGAGCTAAGTTTGCAAAATACATGTTAAGTTTAGCATAGTGCCTGACCCTGATATTCAGTCAATTCTCTATATTAAATAAGGTTAACTAAATCTTGTTCCTAAACTTTAATTTTTTTCTTTCTCTAAGAAAACTGGATGTTCTTCTTAGAGTATATTTTAAGGTATTAAATATAGCTGAAGCATTAATTCCTAATAAAATAAAACAACTTGGAAGTTTAATTTGTTCTGATTGTTTCTTACCTTTTTATCTTAAAATGCTGCCTGTAATGTGGCCTTTTCATCTGACTTTTGTTTCACTTAAGGTACTGTATATAGACAGATGAATTATTTCTTTCCTTTAGAGTATGAAATTTAAAAAATATTTAATAGTAATATCTTGGCCCTAACTAGGGGGAGAACTGCCTTGATTTTCCATCATTCATTTTATAATTGCATTTAAAGTCATTAGCTTTTTAAATACATTGTGCATAGTATTAAGATGACTGATTCTAGAGTCAGAATGTCTGATGTTGTGTCTAACTTCTACCCCCTTTAGTAGCAGTGTGAATTTGAGCAAGTGACCTAACCATTTGGTGCTTCAATTTCCCTTTTTATAAACTAGGATTACATAATAATACTATTACCTGTAATTCTGTTAGTACCTATCTGTAGGGTTGCTGTGGGGATTAGAGACTTGTGCTTAGGACGGTGCCTGGACAATAGTAGTCACTGTATAGGATAGGCTTTTGATTTCTAGTGGTATTTATATGATATGTAAGTATAAACGTTAAATGTTAGATGATGGAGTTTAAATATTCAGGAGTTTATTACACACATTTTCTTTCAACAAGCAAATAAAGAGGTGTCTTAAAGAATGTTAATGTCATCAAAGTAAATAGCTTGAACAGAGTAAATTCTTTGGGATGGGTGGTTTGGATGGCGGATTCTAAGAATGATTTGTTACAAGGATGTTTTTTAGATGCTTATGGGAATGGTTTTCTTTTTTTAGACTCCTTATCCTGGAATGGAACAACCTCCCCACCATCCTTACTATCAGCACCATGCTCCACCTCCTCAAGCTCATCCCCCTTATTCAGGACATCACCCAGTACCACATGAAGCAAGATACAGAGATAAACGAGTAGTAAGTGCACAAGAAGGCAAAAGCGTGAGGGAACTACTTAGAATTCTGTAGATAATTTAAATGTGGGGGACACCGACTTACTGGAAAAGACCCTGATATTGGGAAGGATTGGAGAGCAAGAGGAAAAGGGGGACAGAGCATGAGATAGCTGGAAGGCATCCCAACTCAATGGACATGAGTTTGACCAAGCTCCTGGAGATAGTGAAGGACAGGGAAGCCTGGTATACTGCAGTCCATGGGGTCAAAAAGAGTCTGACATGACTTACTGACTGAACAACAACCATATTATGTTGATTAACAGATAATGGTTTCATATTCCTACTGCAGATTGTTTAGGTTAATCCCTTTGATTATTTAAGTGGATTATTTTTGAGTTAATATTTCTGGGTCTTCAATATAATAGTTGGGCTGAGTTTGTTTATTAAATGCTACACACATGATGACTCTGCTGGGCCACATAAACTTCTTTTTATCTTCCCACATGATGAAGAACATGCATGTCTGAGAACCAATCAGAGCAGTGGTTTCCTATCTTTGAGATACTTTCATCTGTCATTTATTTCCTTATCTCATTAAGTTATTAATCCTTCAAAATAAAGTCACACTAGGACCATTAACATTTAGTAAAACAATCTGAGAATTCTAACAGACGTCTCGAGAAGGAAATGGCAGCCCACTGCAGTATTCTAGCCTGGAAAAGCCTGTAGACAGAGAAGCCTGGCAGGCTGCATGCAGTTCATGGAGTCACAAAAGGAGGTGGATGTGACTTCACAACTGAACAGCAGTAGACTTTTAGCAGTGTTTGTTTTTTTTTCCCACCACTCGAAGTACACAGCCAATATATGATGAAATCTTAGTTGAATAGCTAGGTTGTGGTGTTTTCAAAAATGCCTTTTTTAAATGATCACATTATTTTCACAAAGGAAGTTTTTCTGAGACTCGTACCAAAATATTTTTGTACTTTTTAACAGGTTGTGCTTCATGCACCATTATATAGTAGCTTTCTGGTTAATATATATGTATAATATATTTTGTATTTATTTAATCGCTTTTTTTAAAAAATATATGAAAGGTAGTGTGAAAATTTGAACCTTATAAGCTGACTTTTGAAGAAACAAAGTTCAGTAAGTAAAGATGAGTTGAGAACTGAAAGAGGAACTCTAGAGCAGGGGTCAGGCTTAGTAGTAGCCACAGTGACAGCCTTGCACCTCACTTAGTTGCTTATCTTACCCTTCACGGTCCTCCTCAGCCTTATGTGTATTATTAGCTCTGTGTGAAGTAGACTTCACAATCTTAACTGCAGTACATATTTTTAAAAAAATTCTGTCAAGTTCCATAAATTGTTAAGAGTTTGAAAGAAAATCAGGAATGGAAGAATTCCTAATTTCACCTTTAGAGGGCGGAGTTGGTTTGCTTTAGTTTGTAGACTCAAAGGAGGAAAAATTAAGTAGAATCCACCTGTTGCAGAAAAACAGTGACATTTAGCATAGGTGGCAGCATGTACTGATGTTATTGATCATGTGGTTGAAGGTCATCATTAGGTGTTTATTTTGGCATAAGTCTTATTAAAGAGATTGGGTAGAGAAATTAAATAGAAAACTGACTGCAAGAAATGATTTTTTTAATGAGATCTGAGTAAATCATCTGTTGTGTCTAATTAATAAGACATCAGAATCCTTTTTCTAAACAGTGTCAAAATTGCTTTCTGTGAATTGATGCATTAAGGTATTTCTTTAGATTCTTCTCTCTACCAGACAATAATTACCGTAAATGGACTCATAAATTCCGTTTGATATTTGACATAACCTTATCCATTTCTTACCTTTTCTAGCATGATTATGATATGAGGGTGGATGATTTCCTTCGTCGAACACAGGCTGTTGTCAGTGGCCGGAGAAGTAGACCCCGTGAAAGAGATCGGGAGCGAGAACGAGACCGCCCTAGAGATAACAGAAGAGACAGAGAGCGAGATAGAGGACGTGATAGAGAAAGAGAAAGAGAGCGATTATGTGATCGGGACAGAGACCGAGGGGAGAGAGGTAGATATAGGAGATAATGCGCTTTTGGAAGCACTGATTGTTTAAAGATACAGAATCTTGTATTTTTCTTTTTGTGTGTGTTTACAAGTAGTAAATTTATTTTCAACTGTCTACTTAAAGTTCATTGTGTAGAAGGATTTATTATGACCCTCTTTGTTCCAAGCATGCAGTATAATAAGAACTGGAAAAACTCAAATCCTCCAAAAATGCACAGTTGACAATTTGAGTTGACACTTTTATTGGGACAGAATGGAACAGTCCAAGAATGTAGATACTGATTCAGTCTCTGTAAATCTTCATCTGCTTATAGGGTGTTCATCCTAGAGTTATTTTTTGTTCACTTTCTTTGTTTTGGATCTTGATTGATGACTGCCATGGTATTTTGCTTTGATGTATTTCTAAATGTAGTTGCACACGGTTCAGTAAAAATAATGCTGCTATCAAGTATGCAAATATTGAAGTATGATGGTTTGACTCTATGGCAGTGTTGTAGCAGCCTCTTGGTTTCTTCCTTTCCCTCTTTTTTTTAATCTTAAAAAAGTCACTTTTTATTTTTCTTCGTCTTCAATGATGAGAGCAATATTAAGAAGACATTGCTATCTAATTTTTAATCTTTTTAGATAGGAAAAATTCCTATGTTCAGTAGCATGGTTGATGCTATTGGTTTAGCCTTCTTCTCCAAACTGTATACATTGGCTTGGAATGTTCACAACTTGCGTGTGTGGCAGCGGAAGATAATTCCCATATTCTACATTGCTACTGTTTTGTATAAAATAAATTGGTAAAGATTGACACTTATCTCTTGTGTTTCTTTCTTGTCTGAACGCAAGTTTGTTTTCTTGTGTATGATGTATGGGTTGGCCAAAAAGTTCATTTGGATGTTCCCATATGATGTTATGGAAAGACCCAAATGAACTTTTTGACCAACCTATTAGTGGACATAAAAAAATGCTTTGTGCTTAGAATTGTGGGAACCCCATTTGTCTTTTCTGCATATTTTATCGAAAGTGAATAACCTAAGTCAATTATATATGAATGCTTACTTTTGTTTCTAATGTAAGAACTAATGGTACACAGTGGAATTTCCCATTGATATTTTGGTTAAGATATTTATTCATTTGGTAGCATTTTTGGATCTACTTTGGTTACAGGATTATTGGTTTTTCAGGTTTTGTGTTCATCTTTGATAAGTTAGCTATTTCCTATTTTACTTTTAAAATACATCTTTAAAATTAACCCTCATATAGTTACTTAAGTTGATCATTAATCCCTCTCAGTAGTAACAAGCTGTATAAAATCTAGTTTGTAAGAGATTTTAAAATTTTTTTCATAAATCCACACGTTTTATTTATTTACTTTTCAGTAAGTTTAAATACTTGAAGGGTGCAACATCACACAGATTCTGTGTCCAGTAGCAGGAAGGTTGCTTTGGAATTTGGCATGAACCATGCCACTGTTTCTATGAGCGTGAGTTATCTTTCTCCAGATTATTCTGGTTTTGTTAGATTATCTGCCAGGAGTTACTGTGGTGTTCTCTGCTTTGTACACGTAAGCACATCTCTTGCCTGGATAGAATTCATCCCAAGCATATACAATTTTCAGCAGAGCTGTGTGCTCCCTCTGGTTCCATAGACCCCACCTTTAGCCAGCAAAATGGCCTTGTACCACAGCCTTCCAGACATATCTGTCGTTTAGACATCTTGTTCCCAGCAGGCCTCCACAGGACCCAAGATGGCTGAAAGAGCTGTATTTTAAGTTACCATTTTGGCCTTTGTTACGTTGAATATTTAAATATTTGGGATATTTGCATGTCTGATCACATTTTTTCATTTTCGTACATTGTCATAATTCTGTGCTAGATCATGTTTATAATTTTATTAGTGTCAAAAGAACACAAGAACTTTACTGTTGAACAATTTTTAAAACTGTCAGTTTACTGCTTTCATATTCTCACTGACATTTATAATATTTTTTCATGTGCTCCCAATTAGTATTTAGGTTGGTGCAAAAGTAATTGTGGTTTTGCATTGTTGGATTTGTCGTATGATATTGAAATATATTCTTAAATAAATGTGGTTATGTTATACATCATTTTAGCACATTTCTCACTTTATGTTTTTGCTAAAGACTTATAGCTGTTTAATTTAGACTAGAAAAATGATGTTAGACAAAAAGCAAATTCAAGCGATTTTCTAATTTGAGTTCAACATGGCTTTTATGCGACAATCAGCTTTGGTTGGACCAAGAAGCTCCAAAACACTTCCCAAAGCCAACTTGCACCTCCAGAAGGTCATGGTTACTGGTGGTCTGTTGTCAGTCTGATCCACTACAGCTTTCTGGATCCCGGCAAAACATTACATCCAAGAAGTATGCTCAGCAGATTGATGAGCTGCACCAAAAAGGCCCAGTTCTTCTCCACCACAATGCCTGACCGCTCAACCAATGCTTCAGAAGTTGAAAGAACTGGGCTATGAAGTTTTGCTTCATTCACTGTATTTACCTGACCTCTTGCCAACTACCACTTCTTAAAGCATTTTGACAACTTTTTGCAGGGTAAATGCTTCTACAACCAGCAGGAGGTAGAAAATGCTTTCCAAGAGTTCATTGAATCCTGAAGCATGGATGTTTGTGCCACAGGAGTAAGCAAACTTGTTTCTGGTTGGCAAAAATGTGTTGATTGCAGTGGTTTCTACTTTGATGAATAAAGATGTGTTTGAGTCTAGTTATAATGATTAAAATTCACAGTCCAAAACCACAGTTAACATTTGTACCAGCCTAATAGATATATATTGTTCAGTTGCTCAGTTGTGTCTGGCTCTTTGTGACCCCATGGACTGTAGCACACCAGGCCTCCCTGTCCTTCGCCATCTCCTGGAGCTTGCTCAAAAACTCATGTCCATTGAGTCAGCGATGCAATCCATTCATCTCGTCCTCTGCCATCCCCTTCTCTTCCTGCCTTTCAGAGAGTCTTTCAAAAAAAGGATTTATTTTAAATCTCTGCAGTGGGGTTGAGAAGAAAGAACACCTATGTATTAAGAAACCTGGATTCTGAATCAGCATTGCCTTTGATTAAACCAATTGGTAATGCATTTCACTAACATTTTGTTTATATTCATCAGTACATTTTACAAGTTAATATCAGTTCAGTTGCTCAGTTGTGTCTGACTCTTTGCGACCCCATGGTGTGCAGCACACCAGGCCTCCCTGTCCATCACCAACTTCCGCAGTTTACTCGAACTCAGGTCCATTGAGTTGGTGATACCATCCAACCATCTCTTCCTCTGTTGTCCCCTTCTCCCGCCTTCAATTTTTCCAAGCATCAGGAAATGTGTACATACATTTAATTTAGTTACCCAACCATCAAAAATTTTTGCTTCTTTCCATATCAGCCGTGTTTTTTATCACAATCCGTCCACAGAGGAACTGTGGCCACTATCTTTTGCTTTAGAAAAAGCTTTGCTTGTCTCTTCATCATCTTCCTTTACTACAGATTCTCTTATTTCTCTCCCTTTGCCAGCACTTTGGCTGTTCTAAATTGCTAGTCTGATGGGATGACATGAACCTTGACCCTCGAACTACCTTATCCTTGTCAGTTCGTGGTTATCACTAGCACTGAGTTCCACCCCCCTAAATTTTAGGCACCCCTCTGCATCCTGGGGCTTCCCAGGTGGTGCTAGTGGTTAAGAACTCACCTGCCAATGCAGGAGAAGTCAGAGACTTAGGTTCAACCCCTGGGTCGGGAAGATACCCTGGAGAAAGGTACAGCAGCCCATTCCAGTATTGTCTGGAGAATCCCTTGGACAGAGGACCTTGGCAGGCTACAGTCCATGAGGTTGCAAAGAGTTGGACATGACTGATAGACTTGAGCACACAGCATAGCACACTGCATCCTGAGTCTCGGATTAATCCCTTCTTTCCCTGTCATGTAACTATGATCCCATCTCCTGACTGATAGCAGGGTCCGTTGTCCCTGCTAACAGTTACTGTTTTCTTTGCCCAGCGTGTCACTGGTATGAGGAGTCCAAAATGTGATATTCATAGCTTTATGTTCAGTGGTAACTTTACTGTGACCCCTGATAGAACTGTCTTCACTATCGTACCCCCAGAAGCAGAACCTAGAAGGACCTGGGTATTGAGCATTTTCAGGCTCACTCCCCCAACCCAGGTCTCAAAGAGTTCCCCATTTTTCTATCTAGACCCTGACCTTGGTAGGAAAACTGTTGAGGTTGTCAGTTGAGTCTTCTTTGTAGACTGCTTTCTTTGCAATTATATTCTAAGCCTTGTTTGCTGCTGCTGCAGAAGAGAGTCTTAAACACTGCCAGGGAGAACTTCTGACTTGCACAGTGTATTTTGATTTAATGTCTACTTAAATTGAGTTTATCATTTACAAGACTTCTAAAACTTTGTTTAAGAAAAAAAACAATGTCATTCTGTAAATTGTATTATTACCAATAGTAATTTCCACATAGGCATTATCTGGTGGCTCAGATGGTAAAGAATCTGCCTGCAGCGCAGGAGACCTGGGTTCCATTCCTGGGTCGGGAAGATCCCCTGGAAAAGGGAATGTCTACCCACTCCAGTATTCTTGCCTGAAGAATTCCATGGACAAGCAAGCCTGGCAGGCTATAGTCCATGGGTTGCAAAGAGTTGGACATGACTGAGTGACTAACACTTTCACAGTGTACTGTCCATAAATCAATACTTTATCTTCTCCACACCCCTCACCGGTTGTACGATTCTTATAAATTGTAATGTTACCAAATGCTAGGAGCTCTCAGTGTTGCACATGTCATCAGGAGTGAGATTGTTATTGCTAGTTATCAATGAATTAGACAGTTCCCACATCTTATCGTGCAGGTCTCCTTTTTAGAGCCAGTTCTGGTACAGCCTATCTCAGTATATTCTCAGAAAACAGAGCCTGAGATGAGGGTCAGAAAGCAGTAGTTTATTTCGACAAATCCAAGGGTACAGGAGTAGGGAACTGGAAAGGATGAAACCGGAGGCGAGAAAAGTTAGT